AGGTTTGGTAGTTTAAGACCTCCCCTTTCTGGAACATCTTGCATAATTTTCAATTTCACTCTCGGCTTTTTCTCGTTCCAGACAAACTTATTCACTCCAGCTTGCCACACTTTCAATTGTTTATCACTTTTAAGCACCGGAATCATTTGAAACAAAAAAAGAAATCTTGGCAAAATGTTCATCTTAACTGCTGCTATTCTTCCAAGTAGAGACAGTTGCAGTTTTTTCCAAGTCTCCATATCTTTCTGCACCTCTCGCCACAACACCTCATAATTATTTTGAAACAATTTCATATTTGATTCTGCAACCTGGACTCCTAGATATTTTACCCTTGGTACAACCTCAAAACCTGCCCTCCTTTCAAGCTCGTGTTTACGAACTTGTGTCATATTTTTAACTATCATCTTAGTCTTTTTGTGATTCAGTCTAAAACCTGAAACTTTACCATAGTCTTGTATAATGTCCTTCATCAGGATTATTGATTCCATTGGCTGTGTTAGGGTAACAACTAGATCGTCTGCAAATGCCTTTATTCTGTAATCCTCTTGCCTTATCGTTATACCTTTCAAGATATTAGAGTCCCGTATTGTATTTAACAAGACTTCTAGTGTTAAAATAAATAAAAGTGGGGACAGCGGACATCCCTGTCTTGTTCCTTTTTCAATTTTAAACTCTGTTGTCAAGCTTCCGTTAATAATAATCTGTGCCTTTTGCTCTTGATAAATTGCTGAAATCGCCTGTACAAATTGATCCCCAAAGTTCCTCTTTTTTAAAGTCTTTAGTAGAAAATTCCAATCCACTCTATCAAAGGCCTTCTCTGCATCCAAGAAAACCAGCACTGCAGGGATCTGTTTGTTCTTCTCAAGATATTCCAATAGATCTATTACTTGCCTTACATTGTCCTTCATGTATCTACCCTCGATAAATCCCGCTTGGTCGTCATGAATCACCTTTTGAATTACTGGCATCAACCTGTTGGCTAATACTTTCGCATAAATTTTATAGTCGGAGTTCAAAAGAGATATTGGTCTATAATTCTCCGGTTTTTTAGGACCGGCTTGCTCTTTTGGTATCAAAGATATGTAAGCTGTTGTCCATGATGGGGGTATTTTACCCCCTTGTTGAATATTGCAAAATAGATCTCTAAGTTGTTCCACCATTTCGACTTGCAAAGTTTTATAATAGACTGCAGTCAAGCCATCCGTACCAGGAGCTTTAGCTGTTTTTAATTGTTTAATTGCTACTATTATCTCCTCCTCTGTTATAGGATAATTCATTCTTTCCTTTTGTTGGTCAGTAATTTTTATAACTCTTTTATCATCTAGATATTTTTCTATAAGTCCATTCTGCACATCCTCTTTAGCATATAAGTTAGTATAATAATCCACAAAAGCTTCTTTAATTAATTTTTGTTGAAAAATTTCTTTCCCTCCAATATCAATACTATCAATAGTCCGTATACTCTGTTTTTTCCTCAGTGTATAGGCCAACCATCTGCCCAGTTTATTAGTGTTACAAAATGTATTATGCTTCGCATATTGTAAGTTTGTTGCAACTTGTTCCGCCATAAGCATTTGAAATTGGTCTTTCAGAAGTTTTATAGCACCACATATTCTTTCATCTGTTGGATTTTTAATAAGTAACTGTTCTTTATTCTTTATTTCTGCTTCCAATTCAGATCTTTTCTTTTGTCGAATCAGTCTATGTTTAGAGTTCATATAGATAAGCACCCCTCTCATGTAAGCTTTACTTGCATCCCAGACAATTTCTATTGGGGTGCCTTTATTCAAATTTATTTCAAAAAATTCTTTCAAGTGCTTTTTAAGTTCTATTATATTTTTTTCATATCTGAACAAGTTCTCATTTAATCTCCAAGAGCGTCTCTCAGTCTTGCCTATCTCAATTTCTATCCATACTGGGCTATGGTCAGTCAAAGTTCTTGGAAAAATCTTTGTTCTTTTTGTCTTAACAAGTAAATCATCTGACAACAAAATGAAATCAATCCTAGAGAAGGATCTATGTCTATCTGAAAAAAAAGTATAGTCCAATTCTTTTGGATTGTGTATTCTCCAAATATCTTTTAATTCCAAATCTTCTTTCATATCAAAAAAGGTCTGTGGTAGCCTAATCCTAGACTTCTTGGGAAGCGTTTGACTAGTGATTTGGGATACGGAATCCAGCATGGTTATCTCTTTTGCTGTGTATATTGTCATTTTGTGTATAATAATAATAATATAACTTTATTGTCATTGTATGTATATACACAGTATACCGGTGTGAAATGTAAAATTTGTTACTACCAGTTCTGTGGGCATGGCTTGGTGGGGGGGAGGGGGGACGTGGTAATGTGACTGGGTGGGCGTGGCCAACTTTTTTTTTTATTATTTTAACTTTTCAAAGCATTTTTTCTGCAAATGCAAAAAAATGCTTTGAAAAGCCTCTGCCGACCAGGAACACAGCTGGGATCGTCAGAGCCTTTTGAAAGCATTTTTTAAACCACCTCTTCTGCTGAAGAGGTTGCAGAAAAAAATGCTTTAAAAGTCTCTCTGATGATCCCAGCTGAGTTGCCTGATCGTTTTAAAAAAATGCTTTGAAAAGGCTCTCTGACGATCAGGCAACTCAGCTGGGATTGTCAGAGAGACTTTTAAAGCATTTTTCTCTGCAACCTCTTCTGGGAAGAGGTTGCAGAAAAAAATGCTTTGAAAAGCCTCTGAGATCCCAGCTGAGCCGCGCGATCATCAGAGGCTTTTTTTTTACTTTTAAAAGCATTTTTTCAGCGGAAGAAGTTGTAGAAAAAATGCTTTTAAAAGTATTTTAAAAAAGGCCTCTGGTGATCGTGCGGCTCAGCTGGGCATAGTGGGGTGGGGGAGCACAGGGATTTTTGCTACCGGTTCTCCAAACCACCCGCCGCCATCGCTACCAGATAGGGCGATCCAGTCCGAACCAGGAACATTTCACCCCTGCAGTACACCCATAGAACGAAATTCACTTAACTTCACTTAAAATGTTTTCAAATAAAGTATTTGAAATGGGAATAATTTCCACAGAATTTGACATGGTCGCCTTTTGCAGCAAAATCAACAAAAGAGCCCTCTGACACCTTAAAGACAAACTGAGTTACTTTGGCAAATAGATTTGGCAGCAGAGTTCACTGTATCGTTCTTGTACCATAATGCATTTGTTTGTTTGGAGAATGCCACTAACATCATCCAAATATTCTTGTACATGTGCAATTTAATATGGCAGATGATTTCTGAATGTAATTTCTAGCCTGGTGTAGATACAGAAATGAGTATCCACAAAATATTTAACCACTGGTGAGCTGAAAGCAAACTAACTGAATGATGGTGCTGGTGATAGATACATCAGCATCAGTTCTTATATAAGGAGTAGAGTTATTTGAGTGGTCTTCTGGTAATAATGTTGGGGTCATATCTGCGACAATGAATCCCATGTGAATTCACATTCCCAAATGAACAAAATCTAAACCTTATGAATGCACTCATACTTTGCTATAATGTATGGCTGGATTTATGCAATTTAATGTCAAGATCCTGACTAACGAACTCAAGGAAATCAGAACTCGGACGCTAAGGTCTTTCTCTAAGAACTTCTTTATTGGGTACATCATATTGACACGATCAAATGGAAAACCAACTCTAAATTTTTCCCACGGTTTCAGTATAATTAAAATAGGAAATAACTCCCTCCCCAAAAGTCACAGGTCACATTGGCCAATTAGGTTAATTGGTGGGCTCTCCAGGCCACCTCCTTCCCCTCTCTATTCGCCCCCTGTAGAGATGACCTTGGTTCCCACGAGAAAGTTCTGTGCTTTATCTAGCAACGCATTTCATCCTCCTTCCCCCTCCTCACCCTGTGTGGCAACTGAAGAATAGAAAAATGGCTTCTGTCAATTCGAAGTGGACACTTAATGGATGTGGACAGAATGGTGGCCATGTTTTAAGACGCTTCAACATATTAAGGCAATGCAGACATTGTCTCATCTTGTTTTACTAATATAATCTTAGTTAGCCATAAAACTGTCTATTGCAATACATTCTGTTACGCCAGGTCGCACAAACAAGCAAAGCCCCACCCATAGGATGCAAGCAGCAGGCTAAATTACGCCCCCTCCAGTCCATGGAAAAACTCCACGGAACCGGTCCCTGGTGCCCAAACAGTTGGGTGCCGCTATGTTACACTGCTCCTCTAATCTCTGGTTTAAAATATATAGTCCCATCTATAATTGCTATCCATAGTATTGAATATATTAAAATATGAGAGACAGGCAAGTACTCCCATGAGCATGGAGGCATTCTGTCTATTCGAAGCAGATTCTTGTTCACATTTTTCTTTTCTGAAAACATGCTTGTTTCTCAACTTACATAAGATAAAGGGGATTTGCATTTTAAAGAAGATCACAGAAAGAAGTGGAAGAACAAAGTTAACAGAGACAACAACCAAATATCTTCTTCTCTCTAGGTCTTGGGGTCATGCTTTGCTATTTGTTAATTCAGACTTGTTCTTGTGAGATTTCTGGATAATTGGGTTGCAGGTCATCCTTGACAAGGGCCAGAATGGAAAGTGTTGAGAAGAGGCAAATGGGAATGAAATTAAAACTCTTAGGGAAAAATAATGTCAAATTCAGTTTTAAAAACTGCAATATTAAAACATGTTTGTAACTCCCTACTAGTCTTTTGCTAGTGAAAAGTAAACTTTCTTTTGATCAAATAATATTTGCAGAAGAAACCAGCTTTGTAGCTATCATCTTTTTTTCTATCTGATGACAAGCAGGATCATTTGAAACTCGACAGAACAGATGATTCTGTATTTCTTATTCTTTAAAATCAATGAAGCAACACATCTTTTTGTAAACATTAACATGACGTGCATGAGAAGAGTTCTACCTTAGCAGGTCACCAAATGTGCAGTGTAAGGCTTAGACTTTTAAATCATCAAGCCAAACAATGACTGATATTGACCTTTATTTCACATTGCAGATTTACGCCGAATGACAGCTGGTTTTATGGGCATGGCGGTGGCCATCATCCTATTTGGATGGATTATCGGGGTGCTGGGCTGCTGCTGGGATCGAGGCCTTATGCAGTATGTGGCAGGACTTCTCTTCCTCATGGGAGGTAAGGAGAAAACGAATTGAAAATAAATGTCCCCTTTAGCTGCATAAAATTGAAGGTCCTAGAAAACAATCCCCTGTTCTATTATATAAATCAGCAGCAATGTGTTTAAAATTTTCTACAACAAAAGGTTCTTATACGTAAATATAGATGGTCCTTACTCAACAACTGGCCTGTTTAACAACCATTTGAAATCATGGCAGTGCTGAAAATCTATGCAATGTGTCCTTGCACTTATGACCATCACAATGTCCCACATTGCAATGGGTCCTGCGTGGGTTGAGAGGACAGAATCTGCTGCAGTGTTAGTTAACAATGAAGATGGTTGATGTCTATGGAGATTCTCAGTCATCCAGGTCATGGTTGTCCCAAAGGTACTTTTTTAAAAGGCAGCTGAACTTTTCTTTGTTTTTGCTTGAAGACATTTTGCTTCTCATCCAAGAAGCTTCTTCAGTTCTTCAGTTTCAGAACAGCCATGAATGATATGCATGGGCTTTTAATGTTTTTAAAATGTTTTTTTAATAATTTTCCTATGTTATTTGTTGTATTATTTTTTTGCTGTAAGCCGCCCAGAGTCCCTTGGGAGTTGGGCGGCATAGAAATTCGATAAATTAAATTAAATTAAATGACCATAATTCCTGGCTCAGTTACAGTCTTAAGTCAAGGACTACCTGCAGCTTCTAGGTAGATCGTCATTTTTAAAATTCAGGATCTGAATCTCTCCAAGGTTGCCTTTTTCAAATTGACTTTACCTACCCAGAGATGCTTGTGAACGTCATCACACCCAAGGAGATGCCATCCAGAGAGAGTCTACATGACAGTCTTTTCAGGGATGGACCAGATGGACAAGCAATTCTCTCCCTATTTCATTTTCAAAGAGCTCTAGAAGTATGGTTCTTCAGAAAAACATTTAGGCATGTTTGAATCTGGCCCCTGCCTGCTTCTCTCAGCCCATCTGTGGTAAATCTCTGTGTCTATAAGGAAAAGTGAGATGAGTCTTCATTAAACCAGATCTTAGCACTAAAAGTTTGATTCGGGGCACAGATTGTACCAAATCTCTGTTTGTTTCTGTAATATTGAAGTACAGACTAGTCAACCGCATTTAAAACTAGCATGCCATGCCACGCCAGCCCAGCCTGTGGGGTTTAATTTATAGTTCACTGCATCATAAGATTGAAGAAAATTGAGTCTGAATGTGTTTTGTTGGTATTGGATTAACAATTTGTGACCTCAAGCAATGTGACTGGTAAACCAGGGCTTGTAGCCTACTGCAGTCTGCAAACTCAGTCAATAATGGGAGAACCAGGATGGTGTTGATGGTTTCCTAAAAATATCCAAACTTCAAAAAAGAATTGGCAGACAATGGGAGAAGTCACCTTTCGACTTCTGCCATGTAATTATAACAGGAAGTAAATGAGATCTCTCTGAACTTTAGGATCAGTTGCAAATTGGAACAGATTACTCTGGTTTACCTTAATAGATGTCCGTCAGAGATAATCAGGGGTGGGCTTCTGGGGGTTCACAGGGATTCGGGAGATTAGCTAAGATTCTGAGCAGTTTGGAGAACCCCCAAATCCCACTCCTGGCTGGCCCCACCCACCTCGTCCTTCCCCTCCCAGGAGTCCCCACGCAGCCTGTTTTGCATGCAGGTAAGTGCAGGGTGCACGCGGAGGCTCGGGGAGGGCAAAAAACAGGCTTACCTGGGGAGGCTGTTTTCACCCTCCCGGAGGCTCGAACAAAGCCTCTGGAGCCCGGGGAGGGCAAAAATGACCCCCCCGCACACCATGGTGCAGGAGGCCGACTAGGCCACGCCCACCATGACCCTGCCCACTCAGCAACCGGCCAGAGAACCCTTGCTAAAATTTTTGAAGCTCTGAGTACAACACCTATTAATGAGAGAAACTTACCTATAGACAGCATTGGTTGAAGATTGTAGTCCAAACCCAGAAGGTACCAGGTTTAGAATATATTGAGGTGTTTTTTTCTATCACTCAACCAACCCAAAGTTTGCAGCATGAAGGTTAAAGGTTTGTTGCATCTGTCGGGAACAACCATCTGTGCCAGGGAAACTTTCTATATAGTTATGGTTTTGTTTCCAGTCGGTGCTCTAGCACAAGACTTCCCATGTGAGCTGATTTTAGTCTCATTGACTTTAAAACTCCATTCAGCCAGCTTTAAAATATTGATGGCTTGTATTCAGTGTGTTGCCTGAATCGCTTTTGCAGAGAATATTTTTTTAAAAAAAGGCAATTATTGTAGAGCTTTGTTTGCTTGTTTGATTTTTTTTTTAGAGAGCTTGATATTTTGACCATCTGATGAAAGATGATGTCAGTACAAACGTATTAACTTCCTGGGTATTTTTGACAAAACAGATCGCTGTCGACTCAATATCAAACAAACAACAGATTAAGAAGGAAATGCCAATGTTTTCTTCATAGTCAATTTATTTGATGTTTGCTTTAATTTTCCTGGAGTGCAGCTCAGGTAGTTTTGATATATGACATGGCTACAAATGACTACATCTATTAACTTACTACTATCCCTTTTCTGAAACAAAATATTTTCCTTCCATTTAACTATTCACAAGTACTGGCTATTAATGCAATATTAATGTATCTCAAAGGCATTTCATGAAAGTCTTCCAATTTCACATGTTAAAGATTCTTGTCAAATATTTTGGCGTAGAATAATCTGCAACTAACAGTGACTAAAGAAAATGAAGGGCACTTAAGTATATAATAAAGGCAGAGTCATTTAAGAATCTGGTTAACTGGGGGATTTTAGCAAATACAACTTTTCTCCCATCAAAATCCCCTCTTTTGCTACATAAGGATGCTGTTCTCATTTACATTTAATAACACTAAAAGGGCAGGGATTCTAATGCAGCTCTCCTCATGCCAACGTTCAGTTAGCATCTTGTGTGAATCCAGCCATTATGGCTGGATTGTTAAACCATGTTTTTTTTTAATGAATCATTGTGGGAATGCAGCTTGCTTGCATGCTGTACAGATTCATACATGTATTTGAATTTCAGGTTTCTAAGAATTCTCTAACATTTTTGAATTTCAAAATCTAAATCCAAATCCAAAAATGCTAGATGATTCTTGGAAAGACAGTATTCAGCCGAATACAGCCATCAATTGACATATTGAAATGAACCACATTTACACACCATTCAAAAGAGTCAATAATAAATCTAGGAAGGAAAAAAAAAAGAACTACAACACATCCCCAGAAGCCACATTCAGATAAGCAGGAATCAAGACTAGGCAAATAATCAGGCAGAAAATAAGGTTCTAATCAAGAAATGACCAAAAAACAAACTGCATCCTAACCAAAACTGGCAGGGCAAGCTAGCTGCATATTTTAAAGCAGCAAATCTCTCACTTGCTTGCGATGATGATGTTACCTAGTTGGGTAACAAAAGGTCTGCACATGAGCAACCGAGCTTAAAAAGCACCTTCAGAGTTCAACTCTGAACTACAAATATTCACTTCTATTGGATTTTTTCCCTGCCAGTTCTTATTACTCAGCATAACAAGGGTTTGAACTGAACATTGACTCTGATTATATCAAGGAATTTGTCAAAATGAATCATTTTTAAGCTATTATCTCATATTCTCACATCTAGAATCCCACGGAGAGGGTGCAGTGCCTTAGGATGTGTTACACATTGACGTTCAAAAATGTCTATGCAATGAAATTTAAAATAATTGTTAAAATAATATGTCTTCCTTAGTTCAAATTACAACCTTGGGCAATACGTGAGATGGTTTCTCAAATGTTCCCCATTGATAGTTATATACTCCTTTTGCTTTTTCGGTACAGAATTCATATTTATTTACATTGGCTCAATACAGTAATTAGGAACTTCCTTTGCAAATCTCTGAAATAACTTGCCTATGCATTTTCTAGTATTTTAAAAGCAGTTCATCATTTGGAACCTATCTATATAGCAAATCATGCCCTATATTTACAAGGTTTGTGTGAACATACATTTTATTTTTGGAAAAAAATAAATAGCCAAAGTTGAAACTAAGAATTAATACAGTAATTCTGGTTTTTAGATTGGTGAAGTGTATAGGATATCCTGAAAGTGCAACACTAAACTCACCTGTTAAAAAATAATTCTTAGTGAGTTCATGATAACTTACTCCCAAGTAAATAAATACAGGATTACTGACTCAGCATCAAGAATGGGTAAAGTTGTTCTCACATCCAAAAGAACTTGATTCTAAAGCTTCCATCTCAGCAAGGCTTTCATCGCTTAAGCAATATGTTGTAGGGATTTATGCAGTGGTGAAATCCAAATTTTTTTACTGCCAGTTCTGTGGGCGTGGCTTGGTGGGTGTGGCTTGGTGGGCATGGCAGTAGAAGGATACTGCAGAATCTCCATTCCCTCCCCACTCCTGAGGGAAGGATACTGCAAAATCTCCAATCCCACCCCACCCCAGGGGGGAAGGATACTGCAAAATCTCCATTCCCACCCCACCCCAGGGGAAGGATACTGCAAAATCCCCATTCCCACCCCACTCCAGGGGAAGAATACTGCAAAATCCCCATTTCCTTCCCACTCCTGGGGGAAGGATATTGCAAAATCTCCATTTCCACCCCACTCTGGGGCCAGCCAGAGGTGGTATTTGCCGGTTCTCTGAACTACTCAAAATTTCCGCTACCCGTTCTCCAGAACCTGTCAGAACCTGCTGGATTTCACTCCTGGATTTATGTCAACAAGACTTTGTCCAAATACTGGTTGTGTTCCCACAACATGCTAAACTATATTTTATTTTACTCATGGTTTATTGAATATATCATCAAGGGGCAGGTCACATATAATGCTTAACGATATAAACTTTGATTGTCTATGGAGATTCTCAGTAATCCAGGTCATGGTTTTCCCCAAGGTATTTTTTCAAAAGGCAACTGGACTTTGTTTTGCTTGAAGACGTTTCATTTCTCATCTAAGAAGCTTCTTCTTCAGTGTTAAGCAGAGTGATGGCATT